TCCTGTTGTTTCCTACGTTCACCACATGTGAAGGGACGCGAGCCGCACCCTTTGGCCCCGTGTTGAGGATCAGCGAAGTGGAGGTGTTGTTTCCTACCTTCACCACCTGGGGGCGCCCCTTCAGGAAGTCCAGGATCCAGTTGCACAGGGCGGGGTTCAGACCCAGGGCCCCAAGCTTAATGATGAGCTTGGAGGGTACTATGGTGTTGAAGGCTGAGCTGTAGTCAATGAACAGCATTCTTACATATGTATTCCTCTTGTCCAGATGGGATAGGGCAGTGTGATGGTGATTGCATCGTCTGTGGATCTATTGGGGCGGTATGCAAATTGAAGTGGGTCTAGGGAGTCAGGTAAGGTGGAGGTGATATGATCCTTAACTAGCCTCTCAAAGCACTTCATGATGACAGAAGTGAGTGCTACGGGGCGATAGTCATTTAGTTCAGTTACCTTTGCTTTCTTGGGTACAGGAACAATGGTGGACATCTTGAAGCAAGTGGGGACAGCAGACTCTGATAGGGAGAGATTTAATATGTCCGTAAACACTCAGCGACATGAACTGCTCGTTTCAAGTCCTGTCACAACATCTCAATTGGAATTAGGTCTGGTCTTTGAATAAGCCATTACAAAACTTCAAATGTGTTTCTTTTTAACAATTTTCATGTAGACTTGATTGTGTGTTTTGGATCATTGTCCTGCTGCATGACCCAGCTGCGCTTCAGCTCACAGACGGATGGCCTGAAATTCTCCTGTAGAATTCTCTGATGAAGAGCAGAATTCATGGTTCCTTCTATTAAGGCAAGTCGTCCAGGTCCTGAGGTAGCAAAGCATCCCCAAACCATCATGCTTGATCGTTGGTATGAGGTTCTTACAGTGGAATGCAGTGTTTGGTTTTCGCCAGACATAATGGGACACATCTCGTCCAAAATGTTTACTGAAGTTTGACAAAAAGCACCTGGATGATCATCAAGACTCTTGGAAGAATGTTCTATGGACAGATGAGTCAAAAGTATAACTTTTTGGACGACATGGGTCCCATTATGCCTGGTGAAAACCAAACACTGCATTCCGCAGTAAGAACCTTATACCAACTGTCAAACATGGTGGTGGTAGTGATAGTTTGGGGATGCCCGCACTTGTCATTTATCTCGCGTCCTCTGTCTTGTAATCACGTGACTGTCCGCTTCACAATGTCTTAGCCACTAGCCAGCTGTGCCACCAAAAAGCTAGGAATTCGTGGTCCTCTGTAGCTCAGCTGGTAGAGCACGGCGCTTGTAACGCCAAGGTAGTGGGTTCGATCCCCGGGACCACCCGTACACAAAAAAAAATATGCACGCATGACTGTAAGTCGCTTTGGATAAAAGCATCTGCTAAATGGCATATTATTATTATTATAATTCCATAGCACAGGAGGAGACATTTCAAGCTGGGGAGTGAGGTTACGAATCCTGACTCCTAAAGATTCTCTGTTCCAATGGTAAAAAATTATTGGTAGCACTTTACCAGATAGCCTACGTGAGACTTAGTGAGCCCATAATATTCAAACCTACCCGGAATTCAAAACGTATAATCACAGTCTTGGTTATCATATTCATAATCATCTCCCCTCTTTTTTCCATTATTTAAATCATTCTAATCATACACTTTTCAAACAATTATGACAACCTGAACCAAACTGTGCTGGCTTGGGTCATTTCTTTTCACAGTATACTTTTGTTGTATCCCTGTGTTTTGTCTGTAATACTGTATGTCACACAGGAAGACAAGCTGCGGCATATAACCCAATCCTAATTAAATCAGCTAATTGAAGCACCTGTTGCTCATCTGTTGTGCGCTAGTTGTCTATATCAAATGTGCTGTTTTACCAAACTACTACTGAACCTACACACTGAAGAAGACTTGTTAGCCGAAACATCTGTGTATGCTATCCCCCTGCAGTAAAAAAGTATTTTACAAATCGAAAAGGAACAAAGAGCTTTGTAAATCTGTACTCGCTGGTTTTACTAACCCTTCGGAAGATTATGATGGTTTACTTTTGATTAAAGGCTACATTATCTTTTTCAGCACGGTTACCGCAACTATGGTGGATGCATAACCAGGCCAGGTCATAGGCCAATTATTACCTTAGTATTACAGTACAAACTGTATCTTCTTTATGTGATCAGTCTATGTGATGGAAAGAGCATCTTAATGTTTTGTACACACAGTGTATATGCAAATTATATTCAGTTCCAGCTGTCACTGTGGTGTCATCACATATTACATTTGTTTTAGGCCTATTTGATGACTTTATTATTTCATTCCAAGAGCTGCTGCCTATGCTGTCTGACAAAAATCTCCTATTTTAGTAGTTCTTTAAAGTAAATAAGGCATACTTTTATGACTGCTGAATACCAACTATCAATCTTAGATTATGTATTTTCAGGCAGAGATACCTCACGAAGTAACTATTCTATCCCTCTCGATCTAGCATTCTTCGGCTTCTTCTCTCCGTCTCAGACTGGACAAGTAGGGGTGCAATGGGTTATGGTCATTGTAATTAATTACCATGTTTTCTGCGTTACTCTATGTAGAATATTGGCCTGTTAGAAACTACAACTCCCTACTACATCGCACAGTTCGGGCTTGATCTGATTGATCTCTAGAGAAACTGTGCATTGCGGTCACAGAAAAAAAACGAGCGACATGGAATTCAAATAATAGAACTGACATCGGTTCATTAGTTGTTTAAAAACCTAAAAATAACCAACATTTCAGGTAATTGCTCAGCACTACATTTTTGTGCACTCTTTTTGTTGTTGTTGTGATTAATCGCATGGTCTGAAAGCATTCAAAATACACTGAAAACGTCTAAAATACATAATCTATACAGCAAAAAACAACAATGCAATGTCAAAACAAATTGACATTGAGGTTAAAGAAAGTGTGCTTTATCAATTTACCAGATTTCGCTAACCCTTACTTCAAACAAAGTCAAGATGTCAATATTATTGTAATGTTTTCATATAAAAATTTTTAAAATTACGCTCATTTCGAGCTAATTCTGAATTTGCGATTAATTGTGATTAATTACAGCAAATCCTGCGATTAACTGAATTTAAATATACATTGGAAGAGAAACCCATTGTTGGCCCCCTTGGTCTAATGGTCAAGACATTGACTTCTCCAGTGGGAGACCTGGGCGCTAATCCCGCCATTTACAAAAGTGCACATAGAATATCACATTTGAAATGTTGGGAAAGCACCTCTGAGTCATGTGAAACTTCACAGGTCTCTGAAAACCATGTCTTTTTTTTCACATGTGAAATTTTTCATGTGATTTGTTAATGTGAAAAATAAATGTGAAAAATGTACATGTGAAAGTCCATGTGAAACTTCACGTGTCCGAAACTCGTGTCTGATTGGTGACATTTTTCACGTGATTTATTCAAACATGTGTCTTCAAAACAACATGTATTTTTTTTCACGTGATTTTTTTGTTGACGTTTTTTTTGTAAGGGTTGGGCTGCATCAACCTAACAGGAGATGCATGCAATGGTGTAAACATTTAAGGTATATGACTAACAGGCTACTGTTTTCACTTTGATTTGAACTTTTAAACATCAATATCTATGCAAAGTAAATATTTGCAGAAATATCAGTAGCAAATCAAAGCTATAATTGTTTGACAGAATTAATAAAATATGGTAAGAAGATAAAACATGAAAAATACGGATATGCTGTCTGATATTTGAATGGATGCGGAGTGATTGCAGAGTGATTCCCAAATACTCAAACATCATCTTGTCACTCGGGATTGTGTTTTTTGCTTCACTGAGCGTAGGCAGACGCCTGATCCGACCTATTTGTCACTCACCGAGTTTAAAAGCAGCAGTGCCAGAATCAATCGAGCTTTCTAGCCTATTTGTGCCAGCTGCTACTGGTGGTACGTCATTATGTGCGCGCACAATTTATACTGTAGATGCTTGGGACCATCGCGCTCACATTCAACAGGAGGCAAGTGATGGATGTGGTTGGAAACTTCTACTTCGCATCTTGCCATCTTCACCGAAGTAGAGGCATGCACTCAAAGCTAAAATTCTAAATGGGATGCCCTCAGGCGACTGCGGTGGAGTAGAAGCTGACAAGTCGTTTTATTCAAAGTTGAGAGGATTTTTACTGGTGTATTGCGGAGAGGAGAGGTGCGTTCCGCGCAGTGGTGCAGATATCTACTCTGTTTCTCTAAACATTTCAAAGACACAGACTGAAATAACAACTTGTTCCACAGTAGGAAGTGAACAATATAGTCAGAATGGCAGCTGTGGCACTCAATGGATCGAACATAACTACGGGGAACTTTACGAATCAGTTTGTTCAGCCGCCATGGCGCATTGCACTGTGGTCGGTCGCCTACAGCTCCGTTTTGGCGGTGGCTGTGTTCGGAAACCTCATTGTCATATGGATAATTCTCGCCCACAAACGAATGCGGACAGTCACCAACTATTTCCTTTTGAACTTGGCATTTTCGGACGCATCCATGGCTGCCTTCAATACTTTAATTAATTTCATATACGCTGCCCACGGAGACTGGTACTTCGGAGAGGCTTATTGCAGGTTTCACAACTTTTTTCCCGTCACCTCCGTGTTCGCAAGCATCTATTCGATGACTGCAATTGCCGTTGATAGGTAGGCAACTGATGCTGATCATGCTTACTTTTTAAATCAATAATGGTATTTATTTATTATTAATTATTATGATTATTATTCAGCACTTGTCATGATTCTTTACATGCATTTTCCACCTGTAAAAAAACCCCATAGGATTCACTCTATCTACATGGTGATGCTGATGAGGTTGTAGGGGATTGGTATTCTATCCAGGCAGTAGGTTGTGTGTGTGTGCATACCTGCGTGTGTAGGATGACAGTGTGTTGTGTGAGTGCATGCCTGCGCGTGTGTGTAGGGTATATATTGGGTGTGAGCGTGTGTCTGTGCATGCATACATGCGTGAATGTTAATTTGTGTGTGTGTGCATGCCTGCATGTATCTATGCTGGGGAGGGCAGTATATTGCGTGTGTAATCATGAGTTTGCGTGTGTGCGCATGCGTGTGCCTGTTTGTGTGTCTGTTTGTGAATGCCTGCATACATGCATGTGCACACATTTATGCCTTTATGTGTGTGTGGAGTGGATGAGTGTCAGTGGAGGGGTTCAAAGCAGCACCAACCACAGAAGATAAAGAAAATATTAAAAAGATGAGTAACCGTGAAATTAGCAATGCTTTTCATCTTATTCATGGCAGTCATATCAAGAGACATGGAATATCCAGACTACTGATGTCAATCCAGACCACCAGAGCACAGCTATATTACAGGTTCTATGCTGTGAATGTCCTTGTGATTCAAACTGTACATCTAGATGGAGCTGGTGTCAGACTTCTGTAGCATGTTCTGGCATATCAGTAACTGCAGGTTTGTCATCATTATGGCCCTGCTACACTATAGCCATACGGCATCTGGCATTGTCGTCAGTCATCAGCCATTGAGGGAACACTTCTTTGAAATCAATGAAAGCTGCTATACTGTCCATCTTGTGCTCACGTTGCATCACGTCCAATGGCAGCGTCCAAGCTCAAGAATCTCTGAGGTTCAGTTCTCGATGGATGACGCACGTGTTAATTCTATCTTGTGAATTTAAATAATTATAAATAAAGTTGATTTTGGTTGCATATGGCCTCCACTAGACACCATTGGTTATTTTACTAAGATTTATGAAGCCAAGAAGATGCTAGTGAGAAGAAACTCTAGCTAGGTAGCTACATTGATTATTTTCACATTGAATACAAAAGCAACTTGTGTAATTAGAGGATCATTTAGTACAACCACTAGCAACAATTTAATGAGTACTTGCGAAAAACTGGACTAAAGCTATTGTACTTACGCATAATCGATTAATATGGTACAGTAGGGAAAAATACAATAAGGACCCTTTTCCCCTCTGCTCCTCCACTCTCAAAACAACACGCTCTGTGTAGCAGGTAGAACGTCACATTGACACTACGCTGATGACCTGCTTGCATGTGGGGTGGCAGAGTGTCACAAGAATTTCTATCTCAATGTTTCAAACTGAACTCTTATATTACTCATCTGTATCCCAGAGGTTGTAAATCTCTAATAAACAGACAGTCTCCCAGTTTACAATTATCAGGTCTTTATTCAGAGAGCGCTCTGCCCCAAAATGGGTGCACAGTCTTTTTATACTCACTCACACACACACACACACAAGTTCTTATCATAGGCTACTCCTTGCTCAGGCAGGCTGCATTTTTTCACTATTCCCATACATAGTTATCGCGTTCTCACAATATTCTGCAAGCCTCTCACTCCCCCTCTCTGTGTGGGGACATCTGTTTTTGAAACCGGTCTCCTGTTATTGGTTTCAAAGTTTGCACTTCTGCTTGCCTAACTACAAGACACAAATACTTTGTTGTTGGGCAAATATGCATCTTATATAAGCATATGATTAACTCTCTAAGCTCTAGTCTTCTAATAGTCATACATTATTAGTTTAACTGAGGGTGTGACATTTTAGTCATATCTTACTCACACATTTCTTTAGCACAGAGTATTATGTGTGTGTGCGTGTCTGCGTGCGCATGCTAGGAAATGCTTGCATCTGTGTAGTGGGTGGCAGTGTAGTGTGTGTGTGTGTGCGCACATGCTCATGAGTGCGTGCGTGTGTTTGTGTGTGTAGGTATACACTCATATGACCAAAAAGGAAGAACACATTTTTGAACACAGAAACACCAGTATCCACTCTTCGCTGGGCTTTACTTATACTCAAGGAAACCAAAACCTACATTTGGAAAACGCCCCGCCAAGACAGCTTGGAAATAGCTAATTACAGTCGTTTGACAAATTGGCGCAAGCCCGCTCTATTATTGCTAATTTTCAGACGCGAATAACTTATTAATGGCGTCTTCAGGGGGTGTCACTGGGGAAGCCTACACACATCCATTCCTGTAATGGAGGTGCCTATGAGGGTTGTGTTATTGTGCATCCACTTCACATCAGTTTCCCATGCAGAGAAACACTACCCCTTAGGTAAATGTGTAGTTAAATATTTATAGTATGTTTGGATCTGTGCTGTCTTGCCAACTCCTATGGTCATTGTTATACCTTGTCATGCCAAACATGGCTTGATTATGCTCATAGGAGCTGGCTATAGCGCAAACGGATCTGGTGTTAAGTATGAAGTGCATTGATATACAGTGTATGCACCGAGTCTCCCGAGTGGCGCAGTGGTCTAAGGCTGTGCCACTAGAGATCCTGGTTCGAATCCAGGCTCTGTCGTAGCCAGCCGCGACCGGGAGACCCATGGGGCGGTGCACTATTGGCCCAGCGTTGTCCAGGGTAGGGGAGGGAATGGCCGGCAGGGATGTAGCTCAGTTGGTAGAGCATGGCGTTTGCAACGCCAGGGTTGTGGGTTCGATTCCCACGGGGGGCCAGTATGAAAAAAAATAAAAATAATGTATGCACTCACTAACTGTGAGTCGCTCTGGACTAAAATGTAATGTAAAATGTATACACAGAGAGTAATCTCGTCTCTCCTCTTATTTCTATAAGAAATTGATTGGTTGGTTGATTGGTTGCAGTGAATTTAAATATTCCCTCATTTGACAGCAGATTGATTGGAATTGGCATTTTAACTGAATAGTATTCAGTCAATGGGGTGTCAGTCAAACACTATGAGTTGCTGTTCTACTGCTGACACCATTCTCCGATGGTCTGCTAAAGAGATGAGACAGACAAGACAGGACTTGTTGTTTTGACCTCAAAGTGAATTGTTTCCCGACACCACAGGCCTAAAGCGTTGTTTATACCCTAGCCAAAGCCAGATGCCAGGCTTTGCTTATAAAAATAACACACGCTTGCACTGACTACACACACACACACACAACACACACACACACACACGCACTTCCATCAAAGGCATGCACACACACGCACCCTTGCATCAAACACAAGTGGCTTGGCTTAATGAGATTATCATATCAAATGGGACCCGGGCTGATTTGATATTGATCAATATCCCCATGTTACATCATATTCTGTAGAGCGATGGTGTGATAATGGAGGAGAAGTAGTGAGTGTGAGGCACTGGTATCTCCTGCAGGTCTGCGACAACACAAAAGGAGCACCTTTTAGGCTCTGCTCTCCATGACCTTCCTGCAGCCGAGACAGACGAATTCCATATTTTTAAGTGTCCCTTCGATTTCATCCCCCAAGGCCAGAGATAAAGAGAACAAGAGGACAAGAGAACATAGACTTGACCCAGATTGAAACACATAACCTCCAGTCCTACTTGTTGCATGGCTGAACTGATGCGCAGCGTAATCCAGACAGTCTGTCGCCTTGGAAATGTCACAGGGTTGCAATGTGGTGGCCAACCGTAAATGTGCCCTCCTTCTATTAAAGGCAGAATGTGCCCCCCTTCCACCCCTCCATCCCTATTTCCTGTGGAAGTAAAACACATTTCCTGTGTGAACAACACTTCAGGAAAGACTCCTACACACACACCTTTGATAAAAATGGCAAGACATCCTCCCACACACACACGTTTGGCGGGAAGAGTGTGACAAGAGGTGCCAGTCTGTCAGCGAGTGTATTGTTTTGAGATGGGACTGATTAGATGTACCATTGTTGGTAGTTGACACTCTTCAAGCAAGTCCCTCAATTCATTATTCTTCGTTATTCTTAGATGGTAATGTTAGGCGCAGTACCACATAACTGATGTTACCGGCTGAGACTATGCAAGTTACAACTCTGAGAATTGTTAAAGATCCAATGCAGACATTTTTATCTCAATATCAAATAATTTTTGGGTAACAATTATTTTCAATTAAAATGGTCAAAAATAAACAAGAATAGCTTCCTAGCAAAGACCAATTTCTCAAGCAAGTTAGCTTTTATTGGCAGATAGCTGGTGTCACCAGGCAGACCAAAACTCCATCCCACCAAACCAGGCTGATTTCAGGCGGTCTTTTCAAACAGCTCTTACACTTAAAGGTCATTATCATAATTTTCACAATTTCACAGTTTTATTCCAACCTCATAGTGTGGAAATATATATCAAACACAGGAAAATCACGTTTTTGACTGCACTGGGCCTTTAATGAATGGAATGCTCAAATTCGTTCATTGCTAATGCGAAGGGAGAGTAACACATTTTGGAAGACATGTGTAGGCTAATGCAGTATTTTCACCCTCTACCCTTCCCATGCATTACTTCTACCCTTTACCCCATTTTATGCCTAAAGAAATGACTAAATGCCTCATTGCATGTATCTATTTTGGTCTTGTCTTGCTTTGTGGTACTTTTTACCTCACCTAAGAAAAGGACCTCAGGAAAACACCATAATGAGATTTCTGTGATGAAATACAATGAAGCCCTGAAAGAGCAGCCCCCTGTGTGGTTTGGCTCTTTTAATCAACCTGTAGCACTGCACACACACACACACACACACACACACACACACACACACACACACACACACACACACACACACACACACTTCATTCACCTGTACTGCTACTGAAGCCCAAGTGCCACTCAGACTAAATGCCAAGTGATTACAGATTAGTTGAGGGACTGCACGGACTGCTCTCTGGCGACGGCTCTTTGGGGGATTTCCGACCGCCATTGAGATGGCAGCCAAGGCTCTGAAAGTTATCAGAAACAGAGTCCGGAGGGGAACTTGTCTGTTAGCGAGGCGCTTCATTCAAGGAAAGGAGATGCTAATTATCATTAGCATCAACAAGCCGTGGCTCTCAGTAATGGACAGTCATAAAGTGAGACAAACCAGAGGACATAGCAGCATAATAAAGTGTGTCCCCAGGCTTACAGCGTGTTCAGAGTAATCTCCTACTAATTTGGACGATCCATTGTTTCAGCTTTGTCCGTGGCTTTGTCCAAAAAGCCTCTTGTTTGATATGAATGAATCCATGTTATAATAGAAACCACCAGACCACAAGTGGATTTCTGAACGTCTTTGTGTTTTGGAAACACAGGAGACAAAGACAGGAGCAAGGTTGCAGTCAATTCCTTCTCAATTCAGTACAGGAATAGACTTAAATAATTCAAATCAAATGTAAAAAAATTAAAATAACATTCACACATTCATTTATGTAATTTGCCACTACAAAAACTAAATTCATAAATGGGACTTCCAATTTATTCCTTGACTCCACACACCCTGAAAGAGAGGACTTCCTCTGATTCAGAGGGGTTGGGTTAAATGCAGAAGACACATTTCAGTTGAATGCATTCAGTTGTACAACTGACTAGGTATCACCCTTTCCCTTTTCTTATGTTTGACCTTTGACCCCATTTCGACGTCTTGACCCCTGCAGGTACATGGCCATTATCCACCCTCTGAAGCCCCGGCTGTCAGCCACGGCCACCAAGGTGGTGATTGTGTGTATCTGGGCGCTGGCCGTGGTGCTGGCCTTCCCCCTCTGCTTCTACTCCACCATCCGCATCCTGCCCCGCCGGACCATCTGCTACGTGGCCTGGCCCCGCAAGGAGGACGACCCCTTCATGTGAGTAACGACACCTTTAGCCCAGTAGCCTCCTTTGTAGACTAGCCTCCTTCAAGCCTTAAAAAAAATATATAGTATATATCTTTAAAGTATTTTGTATGTTTATTGGCTAGAGAGAAAGAGGTGAAAGGTAGGAGAGAGAGTGCTGAAAGAGCAGTAGGCCAGATTTGAACCCCATGCTGGTAGCGGTACATTGTACCAGGGCATCTCATTCTAGACTTCTATATGACTATTTCATGAGACAATTCTATCACCCTAAGCTTCTTTCATCATCATAAGCCTCTTTATTTCACTCAGTTTTACATGGTTATAGTTTGTGGCAGCTTATGTATTATGGGAACACTGCCTCTACCTCGCTCTCCAACCAAGGTGCATGAATTGAGGAGCAAACTAAAGTGAGGAGGATATTCAGCAACTCTTGGACGACAGTGGAAGTTCATAAAAAAGCATATTTATTGTTATTTCAGCTCGTGGCCTTCTTCAGGGTTGCATTATGGCAGCATTATGATGCATTATGGCAGCCATATTGTGCCAGAGCGCTCATCACACATTGGCTGTGGCAATGGAAAGATGTGACTGTACCAGTTGAGATAGAGATGATTAGCTTGCCCGCTCTAGGCCAGCTTAGCATAGACCTTCTTTTCACTCCTCTCTCCACAAGTCAATGTGTTATCTCACCTCACTCCTTTTGTTGTGTTACAGTATACCGAGGGGAAAAAAAGTATTTAGTCAGCCACCAATTGTGCAAGTTCTCCCACTTAAAAATATGAGAGAGGCCTGTAATTTTCATCATAGGTACACGTCAACTATGACAGACAAATTGAGAAAAAAAAATCCAGAAAATCACATTGTAGGATTTGTAATGAATTTATTTGCAAATTATGGTGGAAAATAAGTATTTGGTCACCTACAAACAAGCAAGATTTCTGGCTCTCACAGACCTGTAACTTCTTCTTTAAGAGGCTCCTCTGTCCTCCACTCGTTACCTGGATTAATGGCACCTGTTTGAACTTGTTATCAGTATAAAAGACACCTGTCCACAACCTCAAACAGTCACACTCCAAACTCCACTATGGCCAAGACCAAAGAGCTGTCAAAGGACACCAGAAACAAAATTGTAGACCTGCACCAGGCTGGGAAGACTGAATCTGCAATAGGTAAGCAGCTTGGTTTGAAGAAATCAACTGTGGGAGCAATTATTAGGAAATGGAAGACATACAAGACCACTGATAATCTCCCTCGATCTGGGGCTCCACGCAAGATCTCACCCCGTGGGGTCAAAATGATCACAAGAACGGTGAGCAAAAATCCCAGAACCACACGGGGGGACCTAGTGAATGACCTGCAGAGAGCTGGGACCAAAGTAACAAAGCCAACCATCAGTAACACACTACGCCGCCAGGGACTCAAATCCTGCAGTGCCAGACGTGTCCCCCTGCTTAAGCCAGTACATGTCCAGGCCCGTCTGAAGTTTGCTAGAGTGCATTTGGATGATCCAGAAGAGGATTGGGAGAATGTCATATGGTCAGATGAAACCAAAATAGAACTTTTTGGTAAAAACTCAACTCGTCGTGTTTGGAGGACAAAGAATGCTGAGTTGCATCCAAAGAACACCATACCTACTGTGAAGCATGGGGGTGGAAACATCATGCTTTGGGGCTGTCTTTCTGCAAAGGGACCAGGACGACTGATCCGTGTAAAGGAAAGAATGAATGGGGCCATGTATCGTGAGATTTTGAGTGAAAACCTCCTTCCATCAGCAAGGGCATTGAAGATGAAACGTGGCTGGGTCTTTCAGCATGACAATGATCCCAAACACACCGCCCGGGCAACGAAGGAGTGGCTTCGTAAGAAGCATTTCAAGGTCCTGGAGTGGCCTAGCCAGTCTCCAGATCTCAACCCCATAGAAAATCTTTGGAGGGAGTTGAAAGTCCGTGTTGCCCAGTGACAGCCCCAAAACATCACTGCTCTAGAAACATGTCATCCTACTAGCACCTACAGTAGGCTCTTCTCTCTTCCCTTCTGCTTTTCTTCTCTCTGGAAGTGCACACTGGTCTTCTCTCTCTCTTTCGGTCTCTCTCTCCTCTCTCTCTCTCTCTCTCTCTCTCTCTCTCTCTCTCTCTCTCTCTCTCTCTCTCTCTCTCTCTCTCTCTCTCTGAGATTTGAACTGCTCTAGTTTACCTCACTCTTATTTTTGTCCCTCCTCTCATCCCCTACTTCTCTGTCCACATATCCCCTTTAAAAATGGGCCAGTGCCATTTTGTTCATTGTTGTTTCTAATCAATCATCTTTGTTTACATTCTGGTTTTCTTCTTCTCCCTGTCGTGCCCAGGTTTCATATCATTGTGATGATACTGGTCTACCTGCTGCCCCTAATGGTAATGGGCATCACCTACACCATCGTCGGGGTGACGCTGTGGGGGGGAGAGATCCCGGGGGATTCATCTGACAACTACCACAGCCAGCTCTGGGCCAAGAGGAAGGTAAATCCAGAGCAGACCTGGGATTATACAGTGGCTTGTGAAAGTATTCACCCCCCTTGGCATTTTTCCTATTTTGTTGCCTTACAACCTGGAATTAAAATTGATTTTTGGGGGGTTTGTATCATTTGATTTACACAACATGCCTACCACTTTGAAGATGCTAAATATTTTTTATTGTGAAACAAACAAGAAATAAGACAAAAAACAGAAAACTTGAGCATGCATAACTATTCAACCCCCCCAAAGTCAATACTTTGTCGAGCCACCTTTTGCAGCAATTACAGCTGCAAGTATCTTGGGATATGTCTCTATAAGCTTGGCACATCTAGCCATTGGGATTTTTGCCCATTCTTCAAGCTAAAACTGCTCCAGCTCCTTCAAGTTGGATGGGTTCCGCTGGTGTACAGCAATCTTTAAGTCATACCACAGATTCTCAATTGGATTGAGGTCTGGGCTTTGACTAGGCCATTCCAAGACATTTAAATGTTTCCCCTTAAACCACTCGAGTTGCTTTAGCAGTATGCTTAGCATTGTCCTGCTGGAAGGTGAACCTCCGTCCCAGTCTCAAATCTCTGCAAGACTGAAACAGGTTTCCTTCAAGAATTTCCCTGTATCAATTCTGACCAGTTTCCCAGTCCCTGCCGATGAAAAACATCCCCACAGCATGATGCTGCCACCACCATGCTTCACTGTGGGGATGGTGTTTTCGGGGTGATGAGAGGTGTTGGGTTTGCGCCAGACATAGCGTTTTCCTTGTTGGCCAAAAAGCTAAATTTTAGTCTCATCTGACCAGAGTACCTTCTTCCATATGTTTGGGGAGTCTCCCACATGCCTTTTGGCGAACACCAAACGTGTTTGCTTATTTTTTTCTTTAAGCAATGTTTTTTCAGGCCACTCTTCCGTAAATCCCAACTCTGTGGAGTGTACAGCTTAAAGTGGTCCTATGGACAGATACTCCAATATCCGCTGTGGTGCTTTGCAGCTCCTTCAGGGTTATCTTTGGTCTCTTTGTTGCCTCTCTGATTAATGCCCTCCTTGCCTGGTCCGTGAGTTTTGGTGGGCGGCCCTCTCTTGAAAGGTTAGTTGTGGTGTCATATTCTTTCAATTTTTTAATAATGGATTTAATGGTGCTCCGTGGGATGTTCAAAGTTTCAGATATTTTTTCATAACCCAACCCTGATCTGTACTTCTCCACAACTTTGTCCCTGTCCTGTTTGGAGAGCTCCTTGGTCTTCATGGTGCCGCTTGCTTGGTGGTGCCCCTTGCGTAGGGGTGTTGCAGACTCTGGGGCCTTTCAGAACAGGTGTATTTATACTGAGATCATGTGACAGATCATGTGACACTTAGATTGCACACAGGTGGACTTTATTTAACTAATTATGTGACTTCTGAAGTTAATTGGTTGCACCAGATCTTATTTAGGGGCTTCATAGCAAAGGGGGTGAATACATATGCACACACCACTTTTCCATAATTTATTTTTTAGAATTTTTTGAAACAAGTAATTTTTTTAATTTCACTTCACCAATTTGGACTATTTTGTGTATGTCCATTACATGAAATCCAAATAAAAATCAATTTAAATTACAGGTTGTAATGCAACAAAATAGGAAAAATGCCAAGGGGGACGAATACTTTTGCAAGGCACTGTAACCCACGACACAACATCACAACGTACTTACGAAGCTCTGTCAGTACCACTGACCCAGAAAAGGCATCTCTGGTTCTGGGGTGACAGCGCTTCAGGTCTCAGGAACTTTAAGGCAGTAGCGATGCTATATAAGCCATCCACTAGGATTTTCACAGACAGAGAGATTGATTATTGTGTAATGGGTTTTTGACTGTATATTCAAAGTGCCCAAAAATCACTAAAGTGAGTTGGCTGAGGGTTAGTGTACTACGGGGACATACAATACATCAAAACACACATACTACACACATACTGTACTATGGGGACAAACTCTGAGTGTGTTTATAACAAGATAATGGAGGATATACTGTGTCTTTATGTGTTTTGACGTTCACAATAACTATTACGTTACAGTCTGGGTCACCTAATCCAGCACATTAGTCAATCTCTGCAGACAAAAACCTATCAACACAAACTGATCGCCAAAACACAGCACAGACCTTTAAGTCTATGAAAAACGAATTTGAGACGTTAGTTTTTTCTGACTTGTGGTCGCCGTTCCTCCATCGACCCTGTTTTTTTGACATAGTGGCTTTTTGACATGCAGCGCTAGCTCTGAATGCTAATGGCCTCCTGAGGCACTGTGCGCTTGGCCCTCCATCTCGTACCGATGTGAAAAGTCAACACCTGGATATACTCTCCGGACTGTCTACTCTGTGAGTCACAGGCATACTCAGACAGTCAGAACAGGTGACTTATCAGTGTTGTTTTCTGGTTTTTAGAATAACACTTGCTTCTTAAGAAAGTAGTTGTGTTATTCAGAAACTGGAAACGCAGCCTAGGCAGAGTTATTTGGAAACTGGCCCAAAATCTCGGTACACACTCCATATAACAGATTACATTTTGCTTTGGATTTTGACCCATTTTGTCCCTTAGAAGCCTGTGCAAATGGGATTCAGTATCGACAACAGTGGGTAGGTCAGGCCCTGTCCATCCTGGCAGTAAGATTAAGAGGCTCCTTAAAGGGGCAATCTGGGATTCAAACAACAACAAAGCTGGCACCATGCCACTATTTTGCTAAACGGCTAAGGTATGGGGCTGGATAAATGTAACCACTGTCAAATTCATAGATGAAGAACATGCCATCCATTTGAGTTAAAACATGTATGTACCAATTCCAGATTGCCCCTTTAAAGTGGGAGCTCTGCTGGATAAATAACCTTAGGCCGACAGGAAAAATGGGCGATGCACCTCCACTGGGAATCAATATGAGTGATAAGGATTGGACTGGAGGCACTAGAGTGTCCACACTCTACAGACCACAGAGACAAGAGAGATGTAGTGTGAAGTTGGCTAAAACACGAACGGACTGGAGCACCAGGCTAGGCTATTGTATGTGAAAATATCTTTCTATGTATCAGAACAATACCTCTGGATAAACCATATAATAATTGGTCTGATTACTTTGATATTCTACTATATCAACCTTATTACTTTGGACTGTGCGGCAGTTAGATCACACATTTAATCGGAAATAACTATACTTGGACTACTACACTTTTATACACTCTGCTACTAGAATACCACAGTATGTGCAAACTGTAATAATAGAGCACAGAAGACAATGAGGCATTGTTGACGTTTTATATAAATCAACTACATTTCTTCTTAACGTATTTGGATGACAGTGAAGTCCTCTCTAGGCTGGAGGGAGATCAGTGGGTAGAGGGACCCACTGGCCGGAAAAGGGGAACCCCTTCCCTCTTAGCACCTTTAAACCCAAGGGGCACACACAAGTTAACTGAGCATAGCATGCATAGGCCCCTATAAAATCTACGTATTTTCCCAAATTCCGTTTTCTCCACTTCGTTTTTCCAGGTTTCATTTCTTCCCCATTTTTTGTAGGTTTTCACTCTCAAAACCACACTTTTTAAATAGAAAAACAACAATTTGATGTTTTAAGTCCACAACAATGCTTAAACCACATCAGGGGCCGATTTTGAGGTCTGGGAAAAATAGAAGAAATTTAGATTTTGGGTGTGTTTTGCATGAGTTTGCAAAACAAATGGCCATTAAATTGATGCAAATCATCATGATATCATTCTAGCAGGTATGCGTAGGCCACTTCGTAGTTAACATTTAATTGAGAAGGTTTTGGGAAAGCCTTTCCATCTCCACCAGAAGTAGTTTATCATTAGCATCATCGCTAACGGCTACACAAAGTGTAGACATATTTGCACACTACACACACACACACACACACACACACACACACACACACACACACACACACACACAGACAGTGACATTCCTGTGCCGTTGCAGGAAAATACAAATCACTGATGCTGACTGACTGAACTGAATAGGCTACACAACTCTCCTTCATATTAAAATGTCTATGTTGATGCGTTTAAAAACTTAAATAATTTTTCACACGGAATTTAAAAAAATATTTTCCCCCTTTAGCCTACATATTGAATAGGCTACACAACTCTCCTTCATAGTAACATGTCTATGTTGATGCATTTAAAAACTGAAATAATATATAATAAAATTGTTCTCCCCTGATATGTAGGCTAAAGGGGGAAACAATACTCGGATTCGTAATCGTATCCATAAATGAACAGTTGATACTCGTGAATGGGGCCAGTATGAAAAAATTAATAAATAAATAATGTATGCACTAACTGTAAGTCGCTCTGGATAAGATCGTCTGCTAAATGACTAAAATGTAAAAATGTAAAATGTTTTATAATGCCTAAATAGATGTTGGCAAAATACCTATCTGCAGGTTTATAGAACAGAAAAGCTGCAGATTAGGAGCAGCGTGCGGAGGTGTGTGTGTGACTGTGTCTGTGTGTCTTGTCTTCCAAACTTGGAGGACAAGCTGGCAGACAAGTTTGCTGTCACTCAGTCAGAATGCGCATCAGCGTTTCTTCTTCTTTCCCTACTCTCACTTCGCTTGTTAGACATACAGTAATTCACATTGATAGCTGCTAGCAAACGTCCTCACCTATTGATTTATCATAGTAGCAGGCTAACAGGAGGCTGCAGTAATCTAAATGATTAGACCGAAACATGCGATCAGAAGTGATTGGGTGAAATATGAAGCGAGTGAACGGAGACGGCTTCGCTCTATCCAACAGGGCAGCAGGATCAATGTACAACCCACCCTTCTCTAAACAACTAGCCAGTTGAGTTATTTAGAGCATGGTGCACGATACTGAGAAGGAAGACAATGCGATCTTGGCTTGGCTGCCTCCTTGTAGCTTCTTTCTTGGGGTTCACAATTCTT